CTCTGTTCTGCAAATATTATTTTAAAATTAAAAAAATATATAAAATATAATAACGCGATTTCTTATTTATTTATTTACCAATGGAATCCCGGCGTATTAAATTGAAATTCTTTAGTTTAGTGGTGCTTTTTGTTTTCGTGTAGTCATTAAATTGATTGTGAACTATAAAAAAAGGAATTTGGGATTGCTGACTTACTCTCGGGTTATGTATATTGAAGTAGGTATTTAATTTATGTATGCGTTGAATTTTTGCATCGTAACGGTAGGTAGTTCAGGGTAATAACTAGCTAAGCATTTACATAGTTACATTCATATTTTCGGCCAGGGAGATAAGTGTTGTTTGTCTTTCAAACATGAAATTACCTAATCCTTTTTATTTAATCATTCGAAATAATATCATATTTCAGATTCATTAGAAAATTCAGTAAATGAGTTATTCGATGGTAAAAAAACATGAATGGTATATATGAAAAGAATATAACTATATGATTTTGACTAATTGTTTCAAACAGTTTGAATAACCGAATTTTTTCCAAATAAAAGTGTAAAGTTATTAACTTCATCCGTATATAGTTTTCAGATTTTTTTTTAGCTAAGAAAAAATATGTGAATTTTGAAAAGTGCACTATAATCTCATAATTTGGTGAATGAAAACACAAAAGATGGTTGGTCATAAGTCGTCACACCTTAGTTGAGTTTCAACTCCCTTAGTTGAACCCATCAACTATAAACGCTTTGATGTTTCCCTTTCTTTAAAATTAGTAAGTTTTTTTTTCATCAGCTATTGCATCATAATGTTTAATTTATTTTAGAATTTTTTTTTTGTATGATTGAAAAATGATGATCTACCATGAATAATGCCAAATGGACGATATAGTCCTAACTATAAGATAAATTATTTGGGATGGGTGATTCAACTAGAAACACTTGAATTAACAAAGCTTAAAGAAGATTTTTTGGCGGTAAGCAATTGCTGAACAATTATAAAGGTAAAAAATAGTGATCCCCACACAAAAATTGGTTGTATCGATTTTGAGTATCATTTCTGTCATCATTATCCGTATTACACAACTAACTCTATTCACAGCAAAACCTTCTACCACAGTGTCTTTTAAAACTAAAATTACTATTAACGAAATAATAATTAAAAGCAAAACATGTGCATGTTTTCCCAATT